TTAGCTTTACCCTTGGCCAGTCACTGTTGACCGTCAATATGCCTCCCTTAATTCGTTATTGCTCCATCAGCTTAAATCCTTCCATACTGGCGTGGAAGCACAGGAGGAAATGGCAGGAAATATGAACAAAAATCAAACCCATAACGGTACATTTCTGGACTCTTTTGGTTAATCTGTGGTATTTTATTCTTTTGCCATCTTATAAAGAATTTCCTATTTGGATCATCCAGATAACACCACATAATGTAAGAATAATAACCAGCGTAATTCATCAATTGTAGCATTACTGATGAAAAGCGTTGTTACTTTTTGTATAATCATAGAACTGAATCATTACAGTAATTAACTACGTTATTATAGACAGCATTTTTCTCCCCATTGCTTAACACGTAACAACTTAGCATAGTGCATAGAGCATAAATTTGAAATTAAATTTTATACTTCGGGGCCACACGTCAAAATGAAAAGACTTTGAACAAGCGACTGAAAATATTATACTCACTTTTTTAAAATAAAAATTGAAAATTAGACAAAAAATAAGTACATACACTCGCCTGCTCAAACCCATTTGGACATATGCCTCACAGATTTACGGTTCAGCTAACAAGACTCGCTTTCAAAAACTACAATCTTTTCAATCTAAAATTTTAAGAATAATAAGTGCAGCCCTCTGGTATGTCAACAACAAGACTCTACATACCGACCTAAGACAACCAACCATTGACCAGCACATACGTACTCTCTACTCCCGATTTCATTTTAAAGTACACGGACTTCACAATGGACTTATCAACAACGACATAGCCATGGCTGAAATGCTTATCAGGAGGCGACTGAAAAGGAGCAGGATGAGGGATCTACCTTCCTGATTTTGGGATGTAAACCGACCAGGGAAGAGGTGCTGCTGGGTTCTAATCTTCGTCATGCCTATCATGCCATTTTCTACCTAACAACAAATCTGCTAATGGCGCTACCAATGACAGGTGCGGATGAAGGATTGGAGACAACAAAAAAAAAGTTATATTTCATTATTACATGTTTGCAAAAAAATTGAAAACTGAAATTTTCTGAAATTTGGGAATTTCAATTTCAAAAATTATTAGATCGTCAGCACCATTTTAATGTAACGAATATTAACCTGCCCAATGTTTTTACATTCGTTACTTTAACATGGTGTCGACGATATACCCATGCAAATAGAGCTCCATTATTTTTCATTAATATATATATGATATATATATATATATATATATATATATATATATATATATATATATATATATATATATATATATATATATATAGTCATAGAGACCCACTAATATAAATTTAAAAAACAAAATATGGACAGCCTCACTGCAAAAGACTATAAGTGCAGTACATAAAATTATTTATAAGACTAAATAAACCATGTATTTCTTATATTATAAAATATATTCTCTATTCAATTTTTATTGCATGCTTAAGGCAAAAATTTAGTTTTTCTAAATAACGTTTTTAGTTTGTTTCTTTAAATATATCTGAGTCCAATATTAACCGGAAAAGTCGCACATTCTAAATAAATTGTATTTACAGGCTTTTTTATTGTGGCTGCCGATATATTATCAATAGTTTAAAAAACTATTTTATAATCGCCGTGCCCTGCTTTTAATTCACTCGGGTTACGCATAGAAGTTATGCGGTATGGTAGGTATACTGCGCCGGCATGCCTAGTACTAATCTGTTTGATATTTAGCTGCAATTTGCGTTGAGATATAATTGCATTATTCTATTTATGCTTTGCAAATTTATGAGGAAATTATCTAATTACACTGAACGTTATCTGGGATTAAGATAAGGCATATTGATTATGTTCTAAATAATATTAAAAAAACAAAAAACAAATCTTCCTCTTTTTGGCAGATATGATTCCATAGCGTTTTTTTTTTTAATCTATTTTTTTCTCCTAATAAGTACGTTATTAAATTATTTCTACAGATGAAGTCCCATAAACCTAACATTCAGTTCATGTATAAGGTAATTGTAACCACAAGCATATTGTGCATATAAATACAAACAAATATATATATATATATGTGCTATGGAGAAAAAACATGCAGTATAACCTCGATTATCTGAATCTAAATAAAGCAGACGATTGATTATTTGATCTTATACAGTTAAATATAGATTTTTGTCATATATATATACACACACTGAAATACTGTTTATTTACAACATGGATAGTTTGTATTTATGTATATATGTATATATATATATATATATATATATATATATATATATATATATATATATATATAAAGAAATTGGGATTGAACTTGTATTTAGCTAAATATTTCTATATATCATCAAATCAAACTAACTATGATTGTTCATTATTACAAATTATTCATGTTGTAAATAAACATCATTTCAGTACAGTAAGATTAGAAAACTGTACATCCTTAGATATTATAGGAGCCACGAAAAACTAGGCTACTTTATTTATTTATTTTTTTTACTGAGGTTGGCTATATACTACTGGTCATTTTCACGGTCACTAGAGAGAAAATGAGAGGATCAAATTATGTCATATTTTAAAACGAGATTCACAAGATTCGAATGTCCCGATTGTTGATTCAAACACACCTAGGAGTTTTTTGAACTTGTGATTTTATGTTTGTTTTACTGCCGATTAAATCAAAATTCATATTAGCTATATTCAACGTTTCTATTCGTTGTTTAACCGTACATAATTATTATGTCAAAAATATAATTTTGACTATTTTATATAGAATTTTTTTTTTTTGTAACTTGTTTATTGAAAAATATTACAATCTGTCTCAAAGAACAGTTATAATAGTGGTCAGAGATCACATTCACACTCTATGTACAAAAATAAAAATAAATTATGCAGAAAAATAATATATACACAGATATATAGAAAATTGAAACTCAGTCTTTAGAATTTTATTTTATAAAAATATATTTAGATCAATTGTTCAACCTCTTTTAATATATATATATATATATATATATATATATATATATATATATATATATATATATATATATATATATATATATATATGTAACAAGAATGGGAAACACATGGGTTCCAGGGATGGAGGGTTTTACGATGTAAAGGAGTGGGAGATAAGTTCCACTGTTCTTGAAAAGAACTCTTTAAAAAGTTTTGTCCCTTTGAAAACACGAGGCTGTTGAGCTGCACTAAGCTCTGTACATGAATTTCAAGTGAGGGCATTGCTTCTACAGAATCTCGTTTACTCTGTAGCTTGTTATTAACTCTCCACAAACGTATCTTCCATATTCCTGAGCAATTTTGAATCTCGTATCGGTCACTCGAATGGCGTTTTAGGTTAAATCGTGAAATTTCTTTTCCTTCAATGCTAAAATATCATGGTATTCATTATTAGAGAAGTCATTCATCTTACTTCATTCTACTGGTTGACGTATTAAATCAGTAAATCAGAATTATTTAATTAATGTGGACGGCTGAGGTGGCTATTCTCGGAAATGTTGCGTGTTCCTTTCTTCCTTCTAGCGTCATGTTCCTGTGCTAAATCAAAAAATGCGTCCTCTGTTCATTTAAGCACTTTTCAGCCAATCAACATAGTTGGTTATTTTTATTTATTTATCCGTCTTTATTGTACAATAATATAATATTGTGAGGACAAGTATTATATTTGAATGTATAATATAGGAGCATCCTATTGACCAAGCGTTAGTTTCTAGAATATAAAATTAGAATTAATTGCCCTAATTTAATTTAATTTTGACTGCGTTAATAAATTAATATTCGTTCGTTCCCAATAAATCCCTAAATATCCTTATAGATTTTCTATTCGAAATGGCAAATCTTGCAACATATGCTTAGTATTATCTTTGAAAATGAAAATTAATAGTTTAATACTATTATCCATACGTTCAAAGTGATATTTCAGGTGAATTTAGAATATGGAACTTTTTATTCTGTTTCAATATTTTTTTTGTCTTCAAATATCTATCTGCATCTGTTGACGAACCGTTGACAATCAGCATATGGTGTGATAGAAGTAATGAAACTGACAGGTCAGGCATGAGGAAGGATAGCACCCAGCAGTTCAGCTTCACTGGCTTGATTAAATTATAATGGTTAGTTAAGTATGGAGATCTTTCAACCAACGCCTTTTTAGTCTCCTTTTCGTATTGACGGGGATGTCAGCTGAAGCATACCATATCTTTTATTATTAGGTCCATATAAATTAATATGAAATCGTCTGTTAAGAGTCCTTACGGTGTTGGTCAGCTGTAGACTAGAGGTAGTAACTACTGTGTGTCGGATTAAGTTAGTTACGTATCGTGGTGTTTTAGTTATAATATTTTTGATTGCTAAATTGGAAGTTTTTGTAAGTGCGTCTGTATAGCTATACCGTATATCTGTGAGTAGTGTGTCCATATAGATTGAAATAAATATAGCTGTGTATTTAGTTTCTGTTGCAGTCATAGTTTTAAAGGTTTGGAAAAAAGTGAGTAAAATATTTTGAGTCGTTTATTGAGGTTCCTCTGTTTTATTTTAACACGTAGGTCATATATTATCATGGTTCTGTCAAAGGTTAATCCAAGAAAATTTACGATGTCCATCTGAGGAATTTGGTTGCTTTCGAAATAAATTGGAGACGATATATTTCTTAAAGTATAAATGTATTATGTTTCGATTTATCTTGGTTCAGTCGAGCTTTCCATAATTTTTACCAATCTTTTAGTTTATATAAGTGATGTTATAATGTTAAGCCTATTACAATAACATTTAATTTCTCAATTATGTGTAATAATGTAATTTTTTTTTCTATTAAAATTTCAGAGCCGCTTGCTTTGGGATTTCTTTTTTTTTTTTGTATGTTTTCCATTTGAATTAACTTTATTAAAATGTATTTTTAATCATACCTACATGCTTATTTAAAATTGTTTTGATATGTTATTTTTGGAAATTTTAATGACGGTTTTTTTTTTTTCTTTCTAGGTATGACCTTTTTTTCTGTCTATTGTGCTCGAGGTGAAGGTAACAATTTATTTCAATATCTATTAACTTTAGTGGATTTTTAATTAAATTTAAGAATACTTAAAATTAATTTTTTAATTCAACTAGTGTTGGCTACGTTATGAAGAAAGACAACATCCGAAGATATGTGTTCTATACCATCTATCCCTGTTTCCGATAAAAATATGTTTCTATACATAATGTTTTATACCATCTCCTAAATGTTTCTATGCTATATACCATCGAAGTATGTATGAAAACGTACACAACTGAGTTCTACTGCCATCGATTCTATGTTTACTCCTCGTCCTTCACTTCGCTGAATCGTCTGTGGCAATATATTTTTGTTGATGCTGCCTGTATCTCTGTGCCTTTGCAGTGTGCACAGAAGTATATAAAAGATTTACTATACTTTGCTTTTTATAAATTAAATGATTAATCTTTGACAATAAAGTTACATTATACCATAATTTGGTAGGTACCCGAGATATAATTGATTGATTTTGGATGAAATAAATACAATTTTTATTAATTGAAGGAAAGAAATTTGTGTATGACTAATTGCTATCAAATTTCTTTTAGTTCAATCCAAAATTTTAGATTGCGTAGTTGTTTTAAAAGATACAAATTAGGTATTAAATAATATTATATTATATCTTCTATACAACTTTTTTAATTTCTTAAATTAAGATGAGTCTCGTTATTTCTTGAAATTTGAGAAAATTAGTTCTTAGTTCAAAGTAAATTCAATGTAAGATTAAACTTTCAAAATTTAAATTATAAAAATTATAGTTCTTAATATTCTCGACTTGAATAAATGAAAATTCTAGGTTATAAATACCTACAGGACCAAATATTCTATTTTATTTTTCTCAGTACATTAACTGTTTAATAATAAGTTCGTAGTTCGTTAATATCATTAAGATATATTATTATTGCATTTAACTATTTATCAATATGGAAATTTTATTGTGTGGATTGTCGCAACAGTGAAGTATGAAGATAGACAAAGATGTTTTTTAAATAAACTGCGAAAAGGATGAGAAAGAGTATCAAGATTATAACTGTTAGTTGAAAAGTTTCTTTAACTCTTGAGTTAAAGGAAATTATATCAGCTATGTGATATAAGAATAATTTGAAATAGAAATGAAGGAAACATATTGAAGATATTTTATAAGTTTATCCTTTAAATAACTAATAAAAGAGCCAAAATGTGTTTAGAATTGCAACCAAGTTCGGATATGAATATATTTTTTCTAACAAAATAATATAATAATTATTATATTCAATTTTTGATTTAAAAATCGATCCTGATTTATAATTAAAAATTTAAATAGATCTTTGATGTTTATTGATTCGATTAAAATAAGACCACTCACTGAGTGATACGGTTTTGCATAAATAATAATGATTAAATTGTGATAAAAAAATGTCTATCAAAATTAAAATAGACTTTTTTAGATACAAATGAAGTTAAATATAAGAATGTATGTATATGTGATTAATGAACAATTTTTTTAATATTATATTTCTGAAATAACTTGTGCCCGCGGTATCTGCAATATATATATGTACAAATACGTTTATAGAATGTTCTAAAGTTATTATTAAGTATTGGTTTGTATTAAAAAGGATTGAAATATTTACATTCCTTTGACATCTTAAATTTGACAAATCGATCATTTTTCTTATACACCCTGTTATAAATCATGACATGATTTTTAAAAATTTCAGATAAAAAATGTTATCAGATTTGATTTTGATTTTTTAAATTATAGATTTCAAACTCTTTGTTCAACTCGGAGTGAATTAGCATATGTTAATAAGCAAAAAAAAGTATTTATCACAATTTTTATCCATATATTTTATCACTCATATTTAGTAAGTAATTACTGTATCCTTGAAAACAAATTATGAAGTATTTATATTTTATATTTATACCAAGATGAAGAATTTATAGGATTCTTACCGCACGAAGGAACCTGACCGTTTTTACATTTCAGCTGACCTGAGACCATTCCACGGCTATGCGCTTTTCTGGCCATTCATCGCGTTCGAGGAATCGATCTACCTTTCAGTACCAGGCTTATTTACGGATTTTTAACCCCCTTTCCTTACTACATACCATATCCTCTATCCTCTATATACTTATTACAGAACATAAATGATCAATACGACTTTATTTTCGAATTAGAGTGTATCATAGATATTGAGATGACTTGTGAAACCGAATTAAAAAAAAAATACATAAAAGAGAATTACTTCCAAGAATAAGCATATGTATAGTTTCGTCTGATAGAAATTAACGCTAAACAATATAATTAGGCAACTTTTTAATACATTTATAACTTTTGAAACACTAATGAAACAAGTTTTATATATTGAAACTCAAATCTAAATGGAAAGTAAACATTGCCCATTCTGGAATTGGAACAAATAATGGGAAAAGTTATTATTGTTAAGATTCATTGTGATAGATAACATCGTTCATTTTAATAAATGTAGGATAACCAACCTAAGAAAATGAATAATTACAAGCTCTGCATATGCTGGAACAAGATATTGCTTTGCATGAAATATTTGTTTAAATTTGGATAGGTTTATTAATGATAGTTTCGTTCGGTACGAATGTTGAAGGTTCTTCAATTCTTCATCTTAATATAAATATTAAATATAAATACTTCTTATATTATTGTTAGTATTATTAACTCAGATAAAATAATCAAACAAAATTAAATATTATTAATGTTATTATTGTTTTATTATAATATTAAAATTGTATTAACTATAATAAAATTAATATGTTTATAGTAAAGCTCAGTGTTAAACTTAGTTAGTTTTTGACCATTCACCAAGCTTATTTATAAGAAGAGGGAAGAAAAGTAAATTTTATTCTGGTGCATTCAGCTTAATTATAGTGACAATTGTCTGGCATACAAGTTAATCATCTTTTTGTTAATTAAATTGCATTGATATTGTACAGTCTTTAAATTAAAATAAAGAAAGGCACAAGTTAACATTTGAATTATAGGTATCAGTAAGAATACAGTAAAATGGGTGAAAAGCATAAAAATATTACTCTTAAATATGTTCGAAAGATTGATTGCTGAGGAGGTGGATAAATAAATGAGGTTAAGGATGAGGATTTGCGTATGGAAGTAGGTAGGGAATTCCAAATCTAGGTAGCACGTATTGGAAAAGATTTTTTAAATAAAACAGTTCTATGAGAAGGAATAAACAGGTTTGTGGACTGGGATCTTCTGTTGAACGAATGGAATGAGAAGCAAGGAGTAAACAGGGTATACATAAGGAGATAACTAGAGCTTACTCAATACTGGGACTTACTATATGCTGAGGAAGGGAGACAAAGACTCCTCGAAACATACAAATTAATAAAGAATAATCTACAATTTGAGGGAACGAATTCTCGAAAATATATTAGGATATAATAACACCAGCCAGTGATCGATTTTATTAAAAAAAAGCAAATGTTCAATAAAATATAGTTGAAAAACATAAATAGTAAGGCAAATATAACTTGAAGAAATACGCTAAAGATCTCAGCTGTTAAGTGTCCATAAAAATATTAACCTAACCTATCTTCAATTTGAAGATGATTATTTATTGAATTCGGCCTAAAGGCAAAACCAGGGAGAATATTTAAATTTAATTTGGGGCAAAATGGTGCAGCGGCAGGCCACCCGTAGCTCCATAGCCGATCCCTTTGGAGCCAATCTGGCAATGTCCTTCCCACCGACTTTCTCGGGTTCAAGGACAGTGACAAATCGGTCTAGATCCTTGGATTATGGCTGCCCGGAGTCAGCAGGCGCACGAGGACCTATATTTCTTTCCCAAAACAGACCGTCCTTGGACCGAACCTCAGGGGGCTATTAACATCGTGGTAAATCACATCCCGATTCCTGATTTAAGTACACTGGGTAGGGTCATCAGTCCTACGCCCGGTCGGTGTGAGTTGATTCCAGTAGCCTGACCAGTAGACTCGGGCAGCATGGCTTTCCCTGGTGGACGGTCACCCATCCAAGTACTAACCACACTGGACGTTGCTTAACTTTGATTGCCTATTGCATGCGCCTTAGCCCGTACGGCTACCCCAGCCATCTCTCTCTCCCTGTCTCTCTCTCTCTCTCTCTCTCTCTCTCTCTCTCTCTCTCTATATATATATATATATATATATATATATATATATATATATATATATATATATATATATATATATATAATGTACCACGACAGTTGGATTTATATTTAAAAAGGTGAATAATTGATTTCTTTTTGTTTGATTGTTGATGGAATGCTATTTCAATTAACCCTATTTCGTAATTTATTTATTTTTTTACTATGTATTTCTGTTTTATACTGAGATATTGTTGGATGGGGTTGGTGAGGGGGGTGGGAGTGGGAGGAGAGGGAACATGTTCCATATTGGGAGGTACAAAGGTTACGTGCAATATATCCCGCGAGGCGGCTCCCCATCCCTTTAGGCCCTTACATAGAGATTTATGACGGCTGAACCACTGGACCGGCCAGAATTTCGGGCTCTTAGTGTCTCCTACAAAAACCTTATATATTTTCTTACAATATTTTTAGCTCTAGATTATGACGTTTTAAGACATGTTACTTTTATTTTTTCCTGAAAGTGAAAATTCATTAGAACTCTCACATTGGGAAGCTATCCTTCATGATGCATTCCTCGTAAATTTGACGTCAGTGCAATTCTTAAATAAAATGTAATATCATCATGATAGTGTACTCAACGTACAATGTCGATAAAGCTTCATACTATACCACAACTGTTAACTTAACAATTTATTTAATAACTGTTAACATCGTCCCATTGGAAATTAGATTTTTCCATTTTAATAATAAGACAATAAAATTTCCTGACACAACTATTCCTGAATTTGTACGCTCCCTATTGTTGTACTCGGTCAAGCCCTATTTGTTTGGTTGAGAAGAGGCTTGGTTTGGTTTGCCACTTACTAAGAGAACCGCAGTCTATTACTGAGAGCATATAAACCATATACATTAGAATGTTTTTATTAATTAAATATATCAAATAGTATCTATATTATCTAAAGTGCTCAAGGGATCATAGAACTGTTCTCACACATTTAATTCTTCAATTGTTTTTTACTCTGTCAAAGACTTGTCATTAGTAGCAATATCCTATTTTTTTAA